TCAGTCTTTTTGATGAGTTAGGATGACTGTGAATTAGAACATAAAATCATGCTGCATGCAACATTTCAAAAAGGATCAAACTACAAGAACCTAATGAAATTATGTCCTGATTTTTATTCACTTCTATGAATTTGGAATAGCCTTAACATTGCAGTAGAAAAGGCCATAAAAATGTGAGATTGGTGTAAAGTTGAGTTGGGTGATTTTATTGTGTACCTACAAGCAGAAATAATATTGATTAGTATCATGTAAACTAACTGATTAATCAAAACTAGGGTTATTACTGTTATTAATTGTTCCAACTATCCAATAATCAAAATATTACTTGTTCTGACTTCGTTATGACAAAGCTACTGAGCCTGTGCACCACTGTTATTATTTTTGAACTAACTAGAGGGAGGTAGCACCCACTGCCAACCTTTACTTTTTTATTAATTTTGCTTGTATGTATAATGGTCTGAGGAACACTGTACTAGTCAGTTAATGGATTAATTTACTAATCAATTAGTAAATGCTACTAATTTCCCAGCACTAGTTTAATGCGATATCTTATCTCAGGAAAATAATTTTTGCCTTTTGAAAGATTCTGAAAGAAATGTCTTTAATTGAACACCAAAAAGCTTTTGGCCAGCCTAAATATACTTAAATTTATGACAAACCATCCAAATTAGATTCTACCTTTGAAATAATAGATGGGTTCCTTGAACAACAACAACTTTGGACGGAGATGGTAAAAGCTAGCTTGAGGTGGAATGGTAAAGTTGTTTAACAAGCATTACAAGTTCTCAAGTAAGTTCAGTGGCCACAAGAAAGTTACTGTATCATCAATGTTGTAAGTTCGAATACACTTAATACCACATTCAAGTTTAGCAGCAAGTGTTAAGGCAGGTGTGTTTACAGTTAATACCGCATTCAAGTTTAGCAGCAAGTGTTAAAGGCAGGTGATTTTACAGTTTGTACCACATTCAAGTTTAGCAGCAAGTGTTAAAGGCAGGTGATTTTATAGTTAGTACCACATTCAAGTTTAGCAGCAAGTGTTAAAGGCAGGTGATTTTACAGTTAGTACCACATTCAAGTTTAGCAGCAAGTGTTAAAGGCAGGTGATTTTACAGTTAGTACCACATTCAAGTTTAGCAGCAAGTGTTAAAGGCAGGTGATTTTACAGTTAGTACCACATTCAAGTTTAGTGGCAAGTGTTAAGGCAGGTGTTTTTGCAGTTAATACCACATTCAAGAAGCAGAAAGTGTACTTTATAGATAACTGATATTTATGCTCAGATTTTTGGACACCTTCTGTTTGCTGTTTATTTTGTTAATACTTTTAGGTAGGTGTACATGTTGCTTTGTATTGTTGTTTTATTACTATTACATTACTAGCCACAAATAAAACAGTATAATGTGAAATGTGTTGTAGGAGCTTACACTTAGGTTAATTGTGATATGTTGTAGTTATGGGGACAGTTATTGTATCTTTGGAATGACATTTAAAGGATTTTTTGATGCTTTGTCAAACATCGTAGGACATTGTGATAAATATTTCCTTCTTGAGTGTTATTAGGATAACTGTATGTTGCAACAATTTTATATATATTTTTTTCTGAACTGTTTTCTTGTAACAGCTCGAGAAGCTGCTGTTTGGGAGTTGGAAGAACGCCACCTACATGAAAAACACCAGTTAGCCAAAAGACAACTTAAAGATATCTTCTTTCTTCAAAGGCATCAAATGCTGATTCGTCACGAGAAGGTAATCAATCACTTAGGCTTTGTGCAGTTTAAAAAGTTTCTATAAAACTACTTGCAAACAAATGATTTTATAAGAACGAGAGTAAAATAATTTTATAATTTACTTTATTTTTTCCATGAATTCAGCAAGTGTAATTTGATTACACTGGAAACTTGATGAGAAGCTCAAGATTTTCTGACTTAGAATTAAATTAACATATATATTGAAAGCTGTACCCTGTTTACTGTTAGAAATTTTATCTATTTTATTTTTAAACAAATGCTGTGGGGAATTATGGTTATCTGATATATTAATTTTTTGACTTGAAAAAATTCTAGTGAAGATACATTATTTTCAGGCAATTTCCTATCATTGCTGCCTGTCTCTCGTTACATTGGTGCCACTGTTGAGTTACTTGTATGGTTTATTGAAATTTAAGACTGGAACATTGAAGATCTTTTTAAAACCTTACTTTGTTGTTCTAGGAATTAGAACAGATCAAAAGAATGAATTCTCACAAAGAAGATGAACTTTTAAAAAGACAGGCTGTAGAAAAGAAGCAGTTACCTAAGCGTATTCGAACAGAAATGAAGACCAGAGAACTGATGTTCAGAGAGAGCTTACGAATAAGCATGGTTTCTCATTCTGATTCTCCTAATGGAGAAAGAAACAAAATACGCAAGGTTGGTAAATTCATTTCATGAACAATGTTATTGTTTTTTCTTAATTGACATCAAGAGGGTTTAGAATCTGTTTGGTTCCAAAGGTTTAGAATCTATTCGGTTACATCAAAAAATTGTCTGAATTTGTGATAACCACTGTTGGGATTAACCCTTTAGGCGCATACATTTTTTTAGGCTTATCACGCTCAAAATTTTGTCAGATAATTTAGGTTCAGGGCCAGAATCATCGTCAGCTTGTATAAGGTATGTTATCTCTTGAAGTGTGAAAACATTGAAGTAACTTAATGCCATTTTGAGTCCGCTTTCTAATAAACATTAAACAGTTTTCAACTGCAAGTAATACCAATGTTTTGAATTATAACATACACCATGTTGGATATAAATTGTTGGCTGAGATGTCATTTGTGCAAATTTAGCTTTGTCTGTTGATTTTGTGTATTCAGTTCACGTTTCTAGCAGAAAACTGAATCTACATTATGGGTACACCTGAAGGGTTAAACTAAATACCCTGTGTGATCTTGAAGAGTCATTCTATAATGATGATGTGTGTGTGTGTGTAATATTGAATTTTTTGCTATCCAAGTTCTTTTATTGGAGTTAGCTTTTGATTTGTTCCAAGTTGAAAGTTAACTCCAATAAAATAGTTTAGATCACATATATATGAAAAATGGTGAAAACATGTTTTGTTTTTAAAAATTTGTGTATCATTAATTCAGTTTTTTATTTAACTGCTTGAAAAAATGTTAAGATAAGTTTAATTCACAAGATCATTATTTTTGACTGACAAAATTCTTTGAATTTCTCACTGGAGTAACTCCTAGTTTTTTTTTCGTACATTATCTAGTTAGATTTTAGTTTATGATCTTAAGCATATTAATTTCTTATTTGAAGCCCAAATACTCGTCATAGTAACAAAATATTTTTGCCATTTTCAGAGTCTTACAAATGTAGCACCATTACAGATATTGATTATTTTTGGTTTATATTATTTAAAGTTTAAAGATGTTATGGTTTCTGTTGTTAGATATAGAGATATCTTGCTAAAAACATTAATTTAGCAAAATTTCTGGTATTATTATAATTTGCATCAGTTGAAAAGTTAAGGCTTAGAAGAATAGTTAGCATCATTTTGATAGAGTGTAATGCATGTAATAACTTTTTAGAGAGAGAAAAAATGCACTACAGATAAGTGTGAAAAGAAAATCACTTGTAATGACCTTGGAGTGTTACGGGATAATAATTCCATATTGTTAGTATTTTAGACATTTGCAAATAAATTAGTTTTTAGTTTCTGATATAAAAAATAAAGTTTCTGTCTTCTGAAGTTCAGTTTCGTATTAGCAGAGGCAATGTTGGTTTTACACCAGCAGCTGTATTAACCCTTAATGTAAAGAAAATATCTGAAATTGAAATGTTCGTTTTTACACCAGCAGCTGTATTACCCCTTAATGTAAAGAATATCTAAAATTAAAATATTCGTTTTTACACCAGTAACTGTATTAACCCTTAATGTAAAGAAAATCTAAAATTGAAATGTTAATGTTTACACCAGCAGCTCTATTAACCCTTAATGTAAAGAAAATCTAAAATTGAAATGTTGGTTTTTACACCAGCAGCTCTATTAACCCTTAACCCTATAGCTTTTGATGCCATTTCTAAATTCCTTTCAGCATATGGTACTGCATTACAATCAAAGTTTAATTCAATCACTTTACTATCAATATATGTCAATGAAATAATTAATATAATATATGTTATAATTTTAATTTTTATTTTATTCCTTTGTTTCGATGGAAACCTTTTATAAAAATACTTAAACTGCAGTTTACATGTTATGTGATCCACGCACTATGAAAAATCTCAACCTTAGCAGTGGTTCACTCTTAGCCACATAAGCTGGCAATGTAAATGAGTGTTAAGACTCTAATGTATGTGTGTTTCAACTATTGTCACTTGAGTCACAAAGTCTTACGATTGTATTCAATGGGAAAGAAATAATTTTCCAACCCTTGAAATTTCCACACCCACCTTCTATACTGTGCTGTGAGATCTACAACATACATATAGTTAGTCGACACAAGTGTATATAGTTAGTAGATAGAGATAAGTTTACACTATATTCTACCAGTGGTTACTTTGAAATTGGCTTGCAGTATTCCTCACAGTGTACATGTAATTGCTGTTAGTATTGTTGTCTGCTTGATCGACTATAACAGTTATGGTGTTTTTTTTTACTTAAATATGTTATAGTTACATACAGTTAAGTTGTATTTAGGTCTTACTTTTATATTGTAGTTAATTATGTATTATTTGTATTTTATAAATCATCTTTGAAAGGTTTAATGATTCTTATAAGTTTAACTTGTTGATGCCTTTATTGTGAAAACCTACAAACAAGATGGTATCATTTGCATGTGCAAAGCATTAGTGAAACGAGTCTCTGCACAGAAGTTGCTGTATAATAATAAAGCATGGCTTGCACAAGTTGATGTATTGGCATAAATAATAAATAAACAAATAATTTGAAAGGATAATTAAAAACTATAAGTGAAAAGATAGACATGAAATTATGTATATTAAATAACAAGTTTCAAAAGACTTCTATGAAGAGCTAAAAGGTATGTACATATTTTTATTTCTTGATTTTAAACATTTCATTGCACATTACATTGATGATAATAGCTAGAGTTAGTGATTTAGTAGAGAAAATGGAAAATAAAATATGATATTCATTTAGGAAGTTTTAGAGATTATGAAAATGAAATTTGAAAAGTGTTAGGTAGTATATTTATTCTTCATATAAAATCTACCTTGCAGGTAAACTATTCAGAGTCTACTTGCAAATAACTACATTATGTAACAAATTTTTTTATTAGAAATAGTAGAAAAAATAAATATTAAATATTTTATTCTTCTGGAACTACATACAATTAGGAATGTTCTTGTCAAATTTTAAACAAGGTCATCCACTAGTTTTATTTTTGGAACAAAATATGACAAGAGCGACATTACCTTCTAAAAGTATTAGAAGCCAAATGCTAAAGGATTAATGAAATTGTAAAACTGAAATGTTGATTTTATACCAGCAGCTTTATTAACCCTAAATGAAAATCTAAAACTGAAATGTTGTTTTTACAACAGCAACTGTATTAACCCTAAATGAAAATCTAAAAAATGAAGTGTTTTTTACATCAGTTACTGTATTAATCCTAAATGAAAATCTAAAATTGAATTTTTTTTTACACCAGCAACTGTAAAACTTATGAATGTATGGAATAAAAATATCAGGCAATAAATTAAAAAGTAATATTTGATGTAACACCAAAATATCAGGGATAAACAAAGAATTATGAGAGACAGCAATGAATTAAAAATGCTTAAAGTTTTGAGAAAAATCTCAGTTATATGTACTTATATTTTTTTCTAGTAGCGTCATCTTTTAATTAATAGTGTTTTGAATTTTAAATCACATTTACAGAATTCTTTAGGCTATAAAAAAGAACTACAAAAATTTAATAAATAGATTAATTTTTAATTTCTCAATTAAATTACAAATGATTTTTTTATATTATAAACGGCAACAAAAATGTTCCACCATTTTTCAAAGTTTAATATCTTGTGTGACCTAGTGGCTGGTATGCCAGACTGTCAACTTGAAGCTACGTGGTTCACATCCAGTTCCTGCAAAAATCTTTCTCCATGTATTGGAGCCTTGGTTGCATTATAAGAGCGACAGTGAAATCCCATTATTTGATCAGAGCAGCTCAAGAATTAATGGTGGAATAGTTTCATTCCAGCTAGTCTATCATTCCAAATTAGGGATGGTTAGAACAGATAGCTCCTATGTAGTATTTGTGTAAATATCTCCAACAAATCATACTTTATGAAAAAACTGTTGATTTAGTCTTTGATTGATGCATATGTTGTTTTTATTCTTGTAAAAGTGAATGATTTTGTCTTTAAAAATGTTTTCATATACCTGAAAATTTTGTTTGTGTATATTTCTATTTACCTATCTGTATTGCACATTGAGTTTGAAAACTAAAACAAGAAATTCTAAGAATGTATTTAGTTCTGTTTCTCACAATGCAGAGGCTCATCCTGTGATGTTTATTTTTGCATTGTATAATTCAAACTTAAATTTGTCTTTCATGCATGTCTTAAATGTGTATTTGAAGAACTTAATACCTAATACTGACTGTTTACCTAGACTATAGTAATTATTTCAAATGCTAAAAGAACAAAATTGTGAATTATTGCTGTGTCAAATGTAACTGTCAGGCAAATACTGATATTATAGTTACATACCAGAGTGTATTTTTGTACTGGTAGAACAAACTAAGTTTTTCTTTGTAAATGTTAACTGTATCTATGGGTTGACTATTACTTTAGCAGAAGTGGCCTTTCTGACATCATCTTCTGAAGGTGTAATAATCAAACCGGTATGCTTAACAGCTTACCACTTTTATCTCGGTGGTTTCTGAGTTTACAAGGACTACCTCTCCCAGAAAGGTTACCACTTTTATCTCGGTGGTTTCTGAGTTTACAAGGACTACCTCTCCCAGAAAGGGTACCACTTTTATCTCGGTGGTTTTTGAGTTATGATTGGTCAATTTTACAAGGACTACCTCTCCCAGAAAGTGTGTATATCTCGAGACTGACATTCCTTTGTAAGGTAAAATAAAACTATGTTCTGAAGGTCAGTGGTTGATTTGAAAAGTTCCAAAACTTTTCTGAAGTTGATGTAGAATGACCCTCGGTATGTAGTTGAATTAATTTGATTAAGGTTTCAACTGATTGAAAGTAGAGGTGAGAACAGCTTGGGGTAGATCATCTGAACCTCCTTCAAAAATTCCAGGACTGATTCCTGCTTGAAATACACTTCTGAATTTCATAAAAATAGTTATCCACAGCTTTTCCTTCTAAGTTGTTAAACTTACTATGTAGTTGTAATCTGATTGGTTTATTTAAACTTGTAATCGACTTATAAGTTAATGGCAAAATAAACAGCTGTATATATATATTTTATTTTTCTGTATCTTGGGCTTAAAATTTAAAAAAATTTAGTTTGGAATTTTTTTCATATCTTTATGCTCACAAGGAATAAGAAATGAAAAATATCTGGTAGGGATATTTTAAAACATTGGTATAATTGTATGTTTTATACTCTCCAATGTAAAATTGAATGAATAATGTGCTTTAAAGAAGGAAGAAAGATTTTGTTTGACAGTTGAATATTAGATCAAAGTTCTTTAAACTATTCCAGTTCCAAGAGGGAGAAAAGAAGCGATACAAGGCAGAGCAGGAACGTCAAGAGCTCAAACACAAGAGGCAGTTTGAGGAACTAAGAGCATCGTGTGAGTCTGCCATTAAAGAACTAGAGCAACTTCAGGCAAGTATTTATAAATCTTTTGGCACTTTCCGGGAACAGTATTACTGCTTCATATTGTCAAATTTTTAGTTTCTCGAGGTTTCGTTAATGCTATATTGTGCTTAAATGGCACTAAAAATTATCTTGTGTTGTTTTTTCTCTCTCTCGACCCGTGTCTTGGCTTGAAATAATGGTGAAACTTAGGTAAAAATTATAATTGTAACTGATTCAACACTTATATAGTGTAATTTGTAAAGGGAAATGTATACAGTTATGAAGCTACATTTCTGTGTAGCTCACCTGTAACCAAAGCACTTGTCAATTTTTTGCCCATCCAAAAGCATAGGTTTATATTTGCTAAGAAACTGTCATCCCTTGATAAAATAATTATTATAGCCTTTCATTCCCACCCTTTTGTGATGTCACTGCATATGATTTGAACAATTATTATGCAAAAACAGCTTTTAAAATAGTTTAAATACTTCTCAATAGAGTGCATTATAAACTATTTATCATTTTATAATGACCAGTAATGTGTGATAGAGTACGTTATAAACTATTTGTCATTTTATAATGACCAGTAATGTGTGATTGAGTACGTTATAAACTATTTGTCATTTTATAATGACCAGTAATGTGTGATTACAAATAGTTTATAACGTACTCTCATTTTATAATGACC